AGTATAGAATGATACAGGAAGCAAGGATTAGGCTTTGAACTTCTGCTACATCCCCATACCTCTAGTTGCACATATATTTGTATTGTAGTGATCGATCACTTGTTGGTTACCTTACATTGTTTTCTCCTTGCTGCTTGCGTTCCTCCCCAGACTGGGTATCTACTCCCTGAATACCAGGCGCAAAGCACGTGCTAAGTCTATGCTTGCTTGCCAGTCAGTTATGGGAAGTCTCAATGTTTAACTAAAGGGAAGTCCAGGGAAGAGGTTTTTAATGAAGGGGATTCCTGACCACGCACACACCCAGTGACTCTTCCACGCCAGTGACGTTCAGGATGTGGTACAAAGCAGGTTTTGAACTAACTGTGTTCCTGGCACTCACTGCTCTGCACGAATTTGAGGACCTTCTCAGCCACTCGGGCCTCTCCTTTGGGCGTGTGGCCTGAGAACTTAATGGGGGGAGCCCCGAGGGATGTTAATCAGACCACAGAACCTTGGACCAGGACAGGGGCACAGCGTTCGACCATTGTCCCGTCGGGTGCCATCCGAGACACACGCGGAGGGGGCCGACTCATGGGGACCAACCTCCATGTCACTCAAGGTGGTTTCTTGAACGTGTTGGTGAACCCCCGGCTGCGAAGCGTCACCTTCAGAGATGACAAATGGACAGAAAGAGGGCACTGTGAGGCCGAGAAGCTGCCCAAACGTTCCCTCCTTGCTTGATTCGTGCAGCATGTGAATGAAGCTGCTGCCTTCCAGTCGGTCTCCGCCTCACCAAGACCCTATCAGACAGAGTGGAGCTGCCCAATCGGGTTTCCAAGGCTGGCATCTCTAGGGAAGCCGAGTGCCTCATTGTTTTCCCAGAGAGTGGCCGGTGGATTTGACCCGCTGGACCTTTTGGTTAGCAGCCAAGTGCTTTGGCAGCCTTTCTGTGGGTGAAGCAGAAAGAAAGCAAAGCACATATGGGACATGAAAACACAGCCGCCCCCCGCCCCCCCAGCCCCCTGTGTGGTGCAGTGTGGAGAATTCCTTCGGAGGCTTTGGTGGGGGCTTAGATGACGCGCATAAAACGCTTGCTGCTTTCAGCTGGCTCATCTTTTGGGGTGTTTTGAAATCGTGTTGCCGTTGGCTCTAACCTTCGAAGCACAATGTGACAGAAGAAACAAGCCCAGCAAATAGCATCGCAAGTAGAGGAAGGCATCCGTCTTTGCGCACGTGCAGGGCTTTGCATGCGAGGATGAAAAGGGGCAGCTGTTTGGGGTGTGGACTTGAAACAAAGGACAAGGAGAATCTGCAGGAGTCCCTTGCCTGGCCCGGTCACAGCATTCCAGAGCCCACAGGGTGCAGGGATGCCTCAGCAAGTTGCTGGAGCTGCCTGGGAAGAGGGCCAGACACCAGCCTTCCTGCCCAGGAGCCTGGCGAGGAGGGGAGGGAGGCAGACCTGGCTCTCCACCTCCGATGGTTCTGAGACCCGTCTGCTGATGATTTCTTCCTTGCTGCTGTCCCTGCCTTGGACGGCTTTGCTGTAAGAAGTGAAAGGAGGTGAACATCGTCAACATTCGTGCGGAATGAGTGATTTGCTCTCCCGTAAGCAATCTAAATGAACACGTGGTTGGATGACTTAAAACTGACCAGAACCCCAAGGAGGTGCCATCACACCCTACTACTCTAGCCAAGCTTTAGGAGCCCTGGTGGCATAGTGGGTTATGCATGGGGCTGCTAACCACAAAGTCAGCAGTTCGAAACCACCAGGGGCTCCACAGGAGAAAGATGTGAGATGTTCTAAGTCTGCAGAGAGTTACAGTTTCAGAAACCCACTGGGACAGTTTTACTCTGTTCCATAAGGTCGTTGTGCCTTGAAATTGACTGGATGGCAGTGAACAATGAATACTTCGTTGGTAATGTACCCACCACAGCTGTGCCCAACATCTTAAAATCACGATGCCAAGTGAAAAGAGGTGCCAGCGGGAACATACAGTGCACATTTACAAGCAGATTAGAAAACAGGCAAAAGCAAACTTGCTGTGGACTATGGACATAGCTGGAAAACACTAAACGTAAAGAAAAGGTGATTACAAAAACCAGGACATCCATTGCCCTCCGGGAAGGAAGGAGGAGGCTGCCCTTGGTTAGAAACACTAGGCCAGCCGGTGGTGGCAGGGGTGGCTCGTTGGTTGCTTTGCCCCTGTTTTAAACCGGAAGCGGGGGCAGGTTGAACCAGTAAACTCTAGCTGCACCGGCTTTCAGGGGCAAAGAAAGCTCAGATTTCATTGTGCTTACAAACTGATTTGCAGTGACTAATTTCACCTGGGTTTTACCATGTCTTTGTTTTCCTGGTTTTCGCCACGTCAAAGATGTGGGATGGTTTTCACCATCAGTAAATAAGCACAATGAAGGCCGTGCACGCCTTGCTGACTGAGTCATCTGTCCCTGACTGTAGGTCTATGGGTTTTTGTGTGTGTGTGTGTGTGTGTACGGTCTTGTATATTTTAGCACATTCTCTATGCCCCAAACTAGAAGTCATGTGATTCTTAAACATGAAGTTTCTTAATTGTATGTAACTTGTTTGTGCTCCTTGTGAATGGCTTCTTTTAAAAATTCTTCCAACTCCACCCTCATTCCATGTGTTCCCTGAATGCATGAATGACCTGGTCCAGCATCTTTTATTTTAAGCGACCCTCTTGGCCTCAGCAAGCCCTCAGCATGATAAACCCCAAGAGTACTGTGCCAAGACCGGTGAGCTGGAAGAGCTGCTATTTCCATCAGTCTTTTAATTAAGCCAGAGCAAAGCAGATGAACGGGATTTTATGGAATGAATCATAACCAGGGATGGATCTTTGATTTACCAATATGATCCAGAGCAAGGACCAAGTAAAACAGTGGCGTCAGCAAGGAGCTGGCGGGCCAAGTTCAAGGCCAGAGAGGTCAGCTTGGAAGATTATAGCAACTGCATTGTTATTTAATCCCAAAGTGGTAATCCTTATAGATTTTTCTCAAAGGACACAGATGATCGTGGGACCTATTAGACAATGTCAGAAAATGGAAACCCGCATCAGGCCAGAAAGGGCCAGGATAATGGCGTGGAGGACTGTGGTCCCCCCATCATGACAGGGTACCCTGTCCTCTTCCAGGCTCGCAAGGGCCTTCCTGTGAGTTTCATTTGGAGACCTTACCCCATCTGCCCTCCAGCCCCGGTCTTGCCCCTTCAAACATTGTTTTGTTCCCAATACTCGGGGCACAACTCGAGCTCTCGAGGCTCCTGTGACGTGGTGCGAAAAGAAGAGCTAGATCCTTCACAGGAGGCTCAGCGATGGGGACCCTGCCTTCTGAAGGGTGTTAACCCAGAGGGAGATGCCATCGCATCACCTTTTGATTTGGGGGTTGTTTGTGTGTGTGTGTGTGTGTGTGTGTGTGTGTGTGTGTGTGTGAGAGAGAGAGAGAGAGAGAGAGAGAGAGAGAGAGAGAGATAAAGGTTTCTGTGATTTCATAGCAGTCTTTTTGGACTTACCCCCATTCTTCTGAAACACCCCATTGCAAACCCCATGGGGCGTGGTTCTATTCTGACACACAACAGGGGCCCCCTGAGTCCGAGGGACTCGGGCTGGTTTCCAGGAAGAGGGACAGCAGAAAGAGTGCTCACGTCCAGAGGAGGGACCCAAGGGCAGGGTGACTCCCCCTGTGACCACAGGTCTGGATGAAGCTGTGGCTTGAAGGGGGGAGGGGAAGATGAAGGTTTCCCCCCAAACGCATCCACCCTCTTAAGTGGGGTAGCAAGTAGCCCTTTCAAGGAGATGGCAAAGGCTCTGCCCTATAGCCCAGGCTAAAGCCACCCACGCCATCTGTGGGAGCCTGTCGTCAGACCCTTGGGTGTGGGCAGAAGTGAGGGTTCCCAGGAGAGCTCTCCTCTGGCCTGGCTCAGAGGCAGCCGGCCTTCAGGCCCAGATGCCCTCTCACCCCAGGCCAGGAGCTGGCTGTGTCCCCCAAAGGCCTATCTGTGGAAGGAAGCACTCAGGGAACCAGAGTTGGAGCCGCAGAGTCCACGGTCACTCGTGAAGATGGAGCAGGCAAGAACACCATGTCTGACAGCGAGTGTCCAAGTTGGAAACATCCTCACGTGGGGTGTGACCTTGCAGTGAGCTGATACCGCGCACACCCCTCCTGGGCCCAAACGGGGTTTGGGGGAGAGAGAAGAGGCTGGGAAAGATTGTGGGCAGCTAAACAGATGCCAACCTAGCTAGGCACTGGCCTTGAAGTTGCAACGACTTGCCCTTGTTTTGCGAGTGTAGGGCCTCACCTTTGCAGACAAGCCCAGCCTCCGGGGCTGTATTTCGTGGCAGAAGCTCCGTTCCTCACAGACTCCACAGCCAGACTAGGCCGGCCTTGTGGGCAGGCACAGCCAGAAAAGCTGCTTCCTGTTTTATTCCATCGCCTAAAGACCCCCCACCCCCACCCCCACCCCCACATCGATCCACCATTCCCAAGACCTGCAGTTCTCAACCTGTGGTCTCGACCCCTTTGGGGGTCCAATGACCCTTTCACAGGGGTCACCCCATTCATAACAGTAGCAAAATGACAGTGATGAAGTAGCAACGAAAATCATTTTATGGTTGGGGGTCACCACAACATGAGGAGCTGTGTGAAAGGGTCACAGCATTAGGAAGGTTGAGAACCGCTGCCCAAGACCTTCTGATTCCTGGCCCTCCTTCGCTCCTGCAGCCAAGTCCGGGAGCTGTGTGCTCCTGGGGCAGAGGTAGAAAGCAGCGGTAGTTGGTCCTTAGGGAGAAAGGCCCTTTGGGGTGTGGAAAACGGGAAGTGGTATTTGACCGTTTCACAACTTCCTTCTCTTCCCAAGATCGCTTCTCTGCCATGGCTTTGTCTACAAAATTCTATCCGCGTGCTGATTTGCGAGAGGCTACTCGAGGGTCCGGCTTGACGGAAGTCAGCTTGAACGTGGTGGTAACTGAAATTGCCTTTCCAACAACTTGCCTTTGCCCTTCCTTTAGGAGGGAGCAGTGTCCCCCGGTGATGTGGACCTGGTCATGTCTGACGGACTGGGCATGCGGTATGCATTCATGGGGCCCCTGGAGACGATGCACCTCAACGCAGATGGTAAGGTTTCTTCCCTGTGGGGCTCAGATGGGGCACAGCGTTCCATGGATGTGAAGACGGCCTGGGTTCACTTCTCCATATTGGTGCATGGGAAGAATCCCATCGGTAACTCTAGGACCCAGACTCAGGCTGGCAGGGCAACCAGTCCGGGGGCAGAGAGGCCAGGTGTGGGACAGAACCGGGCAGACCACCCAGCCTGGTGTGGAGCAGCTGCATTATCCGGAAGAGGAGGACAACATTGCTTAGAGAGGCATGGAAGAGGCTCTGCTGAACTGGGGGCTTGATCCCTGAACCTCTACTGGCTGTATGAGCGGACTTCAAAAAGTTCACGGGGGGAAAAAAATCCATTTTCTTTTCATTCCATTTCGCCACAAACTCTTTGAAGCCCCAGTGTCCCTTCTGCCTGCGGATTCACGCCTTCTAAGTGGTGAACTGCTGGCTGTGAGTTTCCCATTGAGGCAGCTGAGGGAGAAATGAGGGGCATGTTTCCAAGGAGCTTGGAAGGTTCCCCAGGAGCAGTGCACCTCAAAGGGCTTGGGAGAAGGGGGTTCTGAGTCCGTGATCTGGTAAGGCAAAGAGAAAGATAAGAATGGGAAACTTCCCAGAATGAAACTCTGTCAGCTCAGTTCTCAGGGATCCAAAAGAAAACCTCATGTTTGAAAAGCAGACGCACAATACAACCTCTGTCAAATTAAGACAAAACAAACCACCAAACCAAAGAACCTGGACGGGTGCATGACATAAGGGTTAACCTCTGGGTGGTAAAATCGCGAGGACCCTTCATTTTCTGTGCTGCCATACATTTCTGCAGTAAGTGTCCCTTTATTATTTTCATTAATATCGTTAAGTTTGGAATGGATGCAGGCCAGAGAAAGGGACTGTGGTATTTGTTCCAGAACCCATGTTTAAGAGGAGCTCTGGAAGCACAAATCATTAAAACACTTGACTGCTAACCCAAAGGATAGCGGTTCAAATCCACCCAGCAGCTCTGAGGGAGAAAGACTTAGCAATTTGTTCCTCTAAGATGGCAATCAAAGAAAACCCCCCAAAAGAGTTCTACATGGGGCCACGTAGGGTCATCATGAGTCAAGACCAACAGCAAAAACTGATCATGGAGACGTTAACTCAAAAGAAGGAGGCCAGTGTATATGGGTTTGTGGGGCGGGGGTGGGGGGGAATGTGTCTGTGTTGTGAGTCTATCTGTCGATGTCTTTTGTGGGGGTGGAAGCAGCAGGAATAACTGGAAATGGCAGCAAGCGGTTTTGAGTCATCGCAGCCCAATGTCCCACAGAACAAAACACCACCCGGTCCTGCCCCCTCCTCACAATTGTTCTTACCGCTGAGCCCATTGTTGGGTAGTTATTAACCTTGATTGCAATCTTTAGAGGAACAAATTGCTAAGTCTTTCTCCCTTGGAGCTGCTGGGTGGGTTTGAACCAATAACCTTTGGGTTAGCAGTGCAGAAAAAACTTTCTAGCAACTGACGGTGATGTCCAAGGAGAGACCCACACTGTGGATGGTTGACTTGACAAGATGGTGGCAGTGGTGGATCACGGGCCCAGGAGGTTTGGTGAAGATGCTGTATTGCTCTAGGAAATTGGAGTGGATGACCTCTTGGAGTTGGCTTGATTTTGATTCCATAATTCCATGACTTTGGGACAATAGTTTGGTCAAGTTTTATCAGAGCAATTAATGACATCGAGTTTGGGGTTTGAGGTCATTTTGCTAGACACATTCAAACATGTCACAAGGGCACATATCTCTTGACTTGACTTTTCCTTAAGGTCAAGCATTTGCTAAGAGGAGCTGAAGGAAGGGGTGAAGGGGTCTCTCCCAGTACTCGTATGTGAGTTTTGAGGCTGAACGGCCAGTTGTGCATAGGAGAATATTATCCATAAGATGTCTGCATGAAAAATGTGAAGCAAGAGTTTTGAGGGCTCATTAAAACAAAGTCCTGGGTGATTCTGAATATTTAAAGAACCAGAACTGCAAAAGTGAACAGATGTAAGCATCTGACATGTGCACGGACACTCCCTGATCACCTGATTTTCTTTCTTTTTCCTTCTTGAGAAAAATAAGAGAGCCCAGGCATCACAAGAAATCAAAGGGCCCGAGAAGAGCATTGACTCTCACGCAACAGAAACAGAAGCAATGAAATCAGAAACTCGGGCCTCAACCAGTGGGGCAGACAGGAAGGAGGCCCACACATTTTTTAAAACAAAGCAGATATGATAAGAAAACCTAATAGGCTGGATATGTTAATAGTGGACGGATGTAGTTTTCAACTTCAGAGCTTTCCAAACCCCAGAGTCAGATGGTTTATAAGATCTGGCCGGGAATCACTGAAAATGCCCAGGAGTCTTTCCATGACACCCGGCATGTATCAAGATTGGAGGTCGGAGAATGCTGCCCCCCCCCACCCATTGCTTCCATAATGCTGTCGTCTCAGGTTAAGGGTAGTTATTAACCTTAAAAGCTTCGGTGTATCTCGAGCTAGTGGAACTATTTTAGGATTTGTTTTGAACCTAACAAACATTCCCTGATAAACAGAAGTCCACCTTACTTACATCGCCTTGTGAGGACCCTTCCGGAGACATCCATGAAGGACAGGGTCTATGGGGTCGGGGGGGCCAGGCTGCCTGGGCCATGCGCTGGCTTTCCCACTGAGAAGTGGGTGCGCTTGGACAAGTGACTCAGGTCACTGAGCCTTAGTCTGTACACGGGGACGAGAGCAGTGACTGCCTCACCAGGGTGTTGTTTGAGCACGAAGGCAGGTGGCAGCACTGGAATGGTGGACACGTGCCAGGCCCTGCCACATGTTGTATTCATAGTTGGTTGACCTTGTTTGTTTAAGCCACCACGCTCCCAGATTTCTTGACTTTCATTCTCCTTATCGAGATTCAAAGTGCACGAGGGAGAAATACCAAATAAATGCAGACTGAGTTACTCTGGACACCCTATCAGGAGAGACCAGTCCCCGGAACAGGACATCCTGCTTGGTAAAGGAGAGGGCAGCGAGAAACGAGGAAGGCCCCGACAAGATGGGCTGACAGAGCGGCTGCAGCCATGGGCTCAGACGTAAGGACAATTGGGAGGAGGGGGCAGGACCGGGTGGTATTTCGTTCTGTTGGACATAGGACTGCGATGAGTCAGAACCTATTGGACAGCACCAAGCAGCAACAAGGAGTATGACGAGGTACTTTTAAGGACCCCTGGTGGCCAACGTCGGCTGGGCATTGGGCTGTAACCACTAGGTCAGCAATCCGAATCCACCACGGGAGAAGGATGTGGCTTTCTGCAACCTCAGAAACTCCCAGGGGGCAGCTCTACTCTGTCCTGAGTCGGAATCAACTCAGTGGCAGTGGGTGGAGGATGTTTCTATGTGTGAAAAATCAGCTGCAGAGCCAGGTCCTGGAGCTGGGCTGGTTGGCTTGCGTGCCTCTGCTGGGCTCCCAGACTAGCAGACCAGCCATGGTGCTGGCTCAGCCTTCTTAGGCTTAGTCTTCTCACGCTTGGAGACCACCGGGGCTCAGTGCGATTTGTCTCCATCTGTGTAACCACTCGCAAGAGCCTGGCATCACCTCCAGGCAAAGTGGATGGTGACCATTTTGCCTCACAAGCTGCCCCCTCGAGCTGCCCTCCTGCGGGTTTGGTTCATCGTCTGGAGCTGTTACTTGGCGCAGGGAGTGTCCCGGAGCGGCTTTGAGAGGTCAGAGCCCAGGGTCATTTTCTGCCTCACCAGCCTGGCTGGGGTCAGGCGAGTCATCCACTTGGAGGAGAAGTTGGAGCTGGATCCTGTCCCGCTGTGCTTTGCGGCGTTTTTGATCTTCCTTCACACCTCTGTGAAACCCTGTCTCCTAAAAACAGGCAGATTCACGTAGGTCTGGGTGGCCGTCAGGGCTCTCTAAGACACCGAACACCAGAGCTCAGGTGACCAAGCCCTCACTCAGGGTGCCTACAGCTGCTGCTGCTCTGTCACCTGTGTCACACATCCGTAAGGATGGAACCTCCTACGGCAGGCCCGGCCCTGAGTGTGGATGGGAAACTGGTCTACTGCCTCCCCACCGTCGGGTGTACTGCAGGCCCACGACCCGTCACCCTCGGGGGCTTGAGGCTGAGGAATTCCACATTGAGCAGCAGCAAGATAAGCTAAATGGAATCTCCACTTATTCTTTTTCCTTACAATAGCATCTCGAGACAATTTAGATTCAAATTCCTCTAAAAAGCCAAGCTCGCTGAGTGGTTTCAGAAGAACAGAGCAGACTTGGAAGCAGAGGAGAAAAAATACGAGGGAGATGACATTTGATAGACAAGTGTCCTGGGGGAGTAGTGGTTACGGTTGCGGCTGCTTACAGGTCAGCTTTTCGAAATCATCAGACCCTCTGCCAGAGAAAGACGAGGCTTTGTACTCCCGTAAAGAGTGACAGTCTCAGAAACCCACAGGAGCAGTTCCACTCTGTCCTACAGGGTCACTCTGGTCGGCACCGACTGGATGGCAGTGGGAAAGCTGATAAAAAGAACAGGAAGGCCAGACTAGTTGGATAAAAGGTGAAGCTGTTTTCTTTTCATCTCTAACGAGATGAAATTGAGCAATTCCTACTGAGTTCCTCTTTCTTGATGTAAAACTCAAAAACCCACATGCATTGCCACCAAGTCAATTCCGATTGTCCATCTTGACAGGAGCAGAAAGCCTTCTCTTTCTCCTACAAAGCAGCTGGTGGTTTCGAACTTCTGGCCTTGCAGTTGTGCAGCCCAGTGTGAACCCTGCCATTCTACTAGAGCTCTGTTCAAGGGGGTAGAGAAGCCACAGTTATTGGAAACTACGATCTTCCTTCCATTCTCTTCTCAATGGCAGGGGACACATTAGACAGAAGAGTCGCCGTAGTTGTTAGGGGCCGTTGAGTTGGTCCGACTCACAGAGACCCTGTGCCCAACAGAACGAAGCACCACCCGGTGCTGCACCATGCTCACAATTGTTCTTATGCTTGAGCCCATGTGGCAGACACAGTGGCAATCCATCTTGTCTAGGAGCGTCCTCTTTTTCACGGACCCTCCACCACACCAAGTATGATGTCCTCCTCCAGGGGCTGGTCCCTCCTGATCACAAGCCCCGAAGTGGGCATTGCTTATAGCTAGCAAGGCACAAGGCAGCTCTTGGCCATAAGCTACCACGAGCTGGTTGTGGTTCAAACAGCCTGAGAGCCTACTTAAAGGATGATCAGCCCAGAGCTGGCATCTGCAGACATTCAGCACTTGTCCCCGGTCAGCCCCAGAACGGATCGGCCTTCTCTGCAGACTT